ATTCGATTCGTGCGTTATTGCCTGTTTTCGATGAGCTAGGTAAACCCAAACGCATAATAGCCGATAGAGCAGCTGCATTTACTTCGGTAATGTTCCAAAACTTCCTCAGTGAACAAAACGTGCAACTTCACCACATTGCAACAGGAGTGCCTCGCGGAAATGGGCAAGTCGAGCGTGTCATGCGCACACTGTTTAATTTGATGCGAGCAACACTCACAGCTGAGAAAGAAAATACATGGACAACTGTATTGCCTGCAATAGAAGACAATCTGAATTCTACAATTCATTCGGTGACTGGTTACGCACCGACCGTGTTACAGCTGGGAACGAACCCTAGGTTAGCGGCTACGCGGGCGTTTTTGGCAGACGCACCGCCGACAGATAATTTTGTCGACCCGGAAAAGGCCGTTGAGGAAGCACGACGTCGAATACCCACTACGGCGAATAAGCGAGCTCAGCAATTTAATGCAACTCGTTATTGTAATGACTTGTTGTCAGTAGGAGATCTTGTTGCTGTGGAGGATTCTCAACTTGCTGGCGGAGGTAAATTGAAATGCCCGTTCAAAGGACCATACACCGTTCGCAATATACTACCAAACGAGCGATATGTGCTACAGAAGCGAGGACGGCGAACGACAGTGGCGGCTCATGAGCAATTAAGACGCTGGCCTTCTGTAGAATGATAATAACAAAAGTAAGTACTACAAAAAAAAATAATAACAATTAATTGGTAAAATAAAATGGAAGAATAGGGGTAGTCCCACTATGTTTGAATGTTGGCAGTAGGTACTGCTTAAAAAAAAAAAAGAAGTAATAATAAAAAAAAAATTGATAACTTGTATTGGTCGTTGATGTGCTATAAGTGGCAGTACCACTATGATTGAATGTTGGCAGTAGGTACTGACTAAAAAAAAAGAAAGAAAAAAAAAAATTGATAATTTGTATTGGTCCTTGATATGCTATGGGTGGGTACCTAGACAAGCTAGTGATTACACCTCTGAGCCAGGACAAAACGAGTTGTCTGGACAAGTACAGAATCATAGCCTCTGAGCTAAAGTATCGATTGATTTCCTTAAACTACCTAGACAAGCTAGTGATTACACCTCTGAGCCAGGACAAAACGAGTTGTCTGGACAAGTACAGAATCATAGCCTCTGAGCTAAAGTATCGATTGATTTCCTTGAACTACCTAGACAAGCTAGTGATTACACCTCTGAGCCAGGACAAAACGAGTTGTCTGGACAAGTACAGAATCATAGCCTCTGAGCTAAAGTATCGATTGATTTCCTTGAACTACCTAGACAAGCTAGTGATTACACCTCTGAGCCAGGACAAAACGAGTTGTCTGGACAAGTACAGAATCATAGCCTCTGAGCTAAAGTATCGATTGATTTCCTCGAACTGACTAGACAAGCTAGTGATTACACCTCTGAGCCAGGACAAAACGAGTTGTCTGGACAAGTACAGGATCATAGCCTCTGAGCTAGAGTAATGATTTATCACCTAAAGCTGACTAGACAAGCTTGTGATTACACCACTGAGCCAGGACAAAACGAGTTGTCTGGACAAGTACAGGATCATAGCCTCTGAGCTAGAGTAATGATTTATCACCTAAAGCTGACTAGACAAGCTTGTGATTACACCTCTGAGCCGTGGCAAAATGAATTGCCAGGACAAGTGTAGATCAAGCCTCTGAGCTAGAGCAATTATTACTATCGATGTTAAGTTAAACTATATGTGATGGTTCTTCAACCATAACGTTTATGCCTTGAATGTGAGCCACGTAAAAAAAAATGATGGAGAGAATAAACAATGTCAGAGGTTCTGTTTCCGTTCTTTGTTATTGCAGTTGAATCTTCAACTAAGCGGCTCGAGGACGCTCCGATCGCAGGGTGGCCGTGTTAGCAATATCCCCTTTGCCACGCCATTGGAGCCATTAGCCTGAGTCAAGGAATTCCAGGACGGACGAGCGAGACTAGACAAGCGATAGACGAAGGCGTCGATTGATATATTACGATATGCACGAAGGCCCGAAAAAGAGGAAGAGAGGCAGTTCGAATCGGTACAGCCGAGGGTACAGCGTCTGGCGTCTGACTTACGATTAATTATTGTATCCAATGAGAATAATAAACCGCTTTTGGGGTATTTTGCGTATTTATGGGGATGAAAGTACCCAGTAGTTAACATTCATGCCATGCGTACCTACATCTTTGAAAAATCATATTTCGAAAACTATACTACATATACAAATTTCTGTTATTTCAAAAACTTTCATGACTATTTGTCAACATTTTATTCGCTGCATATATACCAAAAAAATCAACAAGAAAAAAGTTTGTCGATTGTTGAAAAAAATATAACATGGAAAGTGATATCTGGCGTTCTCAATCAATTTACAAAAAACTGATGATAATTTATACTGTAATCATACCATCGTGAGAAGCAGAAAAGAATTCGTTTTCTATTAAAAAAAAATGATCTCCATACTTATTGTAGTTTTAGAGTTACGAAGAGATAAAGTTCAAAATCTGTGTTTTAGGAAATTCTTTATTTTTTCAGTTTTTTCTAAATAAAAAAGTTCGTCCCCACTCAAAAATGTCGTCTAATGATATTCTGATAAAAAAATATGTACTTCATTATATTTTGAAGGTCGGAACTGGTTATACCCTGAAAAAATGTTTTTCGAGAACGGAGCGACTTTTTCGGTGGATTTTACTCCACTAACAGTTAATGGTGGAATCCTTACTTGTTATCCAATAAAAACTGTTCATGAAGTTGTTATGTTGATATTGATTGTTCCCACTCCGAATATAAAAAAAAAGATTTAGGAAAGCTATGAATTCACAACAGATTGACGTACCTCAATTTAGTAGAAACTTGTAGTTACAATACGAATAATAATGACGTAGCAATATACAATCTGAATTTCGTTCTTCAAACGAATGCTGCAATTATTAATGTGATCGTTTATGATTCGTAACTCTTATCGTCTATACAGGTGTATGGTGTAAACGTGCCTATGATGTTTCAGATTTCATGAAAAAGTAGTACACGTACACATTTGCGCGCTACTGACAAAAATTTTTACACTATATTTGTCAAAGTCGATAAGAAGATTAATCAAGATTGACGAGCCTAACTCACAATAGCCTATAACTGCTGTACGACTTGTTTATGCACACAAGATACAGGACGATATCTCGATTTTGGCAAAATCTTCATCTGGTCATAGTTTTTGAACCACTTTGTCTATTCATCTATTCATACTTGTTAGAAATATTCCTGGCTGTTGGTTAATCGAGGAGGTGGTACATTCATTATTCCAGATTTTTTTGGGATTCTCTCCTCGTCTCTATAAAATAAAAACATGAATACTATTTGAATATACGTGTAGTAAGGACAAATCAGACGAGGAGAGAAAATCCCAAAAAAATCTGGAATAAAGAAATATTCCTCTTATATTACTCATCAAAACTAAATAGAAATCGAGATCAGAATCCAGGTCCATCTTAAGGAGAAACAATTTCTTTTATTCAAAAAACCACACAATGTATTGCAAAATTTTGTGGAACTGTTCTAATATTTAGAAAGAGCAGGAAAAAAATTAATTGAGTGACCTACTTTTGACGCGGCGCATCCAATTTGATAGATGGTGTATTATTATTTTTTGAATATTCAGCTCCATTTCGAGAAATTTTTAATGAAATCTCAATTCTTAATTCAATTTTAATACAAAAAATAACAGTCTTCAAAGTTCAACACCATTAGGATCAAATTTGGTGAACTATCGATAGATTTGTTTGTTTGACAGAATAATTTGTCAATGATTTTAGAATTTTTCGAGAACTCATTTTATTCGTCACTATTTATTCATAAGCTGCGGTAGGGTAGGCTGGTGGTAGGCTGGTGAAAAAAATATTTAAATTTCTAGTGTGATATTATTGGTAACGTTGAGGTTAGTGTGTTCAGGCAAGATCATCAACGCTTTGAAATGTAATAACAACCCAATACAAGCACCAACAACTACCTTAACTTCACCAATGATATCAAACTAGTGCTATGAACTGTGAGAAAATCAAAATTTCTTCCATAGCCTACTTCACTGCAGTTAATAGATTAATAGTGAAGTATAAAATGAGCCCTCGAAATTTTCTAAAATAATTGACAAGTTATTTTGTCAAAAGAACAAATCTATGGATATTTCACCTAATTTGACACTAATGATGTTGAACTTTGATGTTATCTCCTTGTATTAAAATTGGATTTTTAATTAGGAGTTCAAGAAGAATACCTCGAAATTAGAGCGGAGTATTTAAAAAAATAATAATAAATCATCGGTCAAATCATATGCGCGCTCGTAAAAAGTAGGTTACTTTATTCATTTTTCCTCACTATTTTCGAATATCGAAACAAACCTACAAAATTTTGCCATGCAGAGTGTTGTTTTTTAGATAAAAAAAGTTTTCTGTTTTCCCTCGAGACGGACCTGGATTCTGTTCGCGATTTTTAATTAGTTCTGATGGGAAATATAAATGAAATATTTATACCTCATATGAATAGATTAAACAAAGTGGTCAAAAATTATTACCAGAAGATTTTGACATAATGCAGATAACGTCTTGTATCTCAAACTGTCCTCTATCTGCAGGTGTCATATGTACATTTAAATTTGAAACACTGTATATTTATTCCTAGACAACTTTTCGACCTCAACCATTGAGGATATAATATGGAAGATATCGATTTTGGGCGCCATTTATACAGGTTTTTCTGCTTATTTCGACATTCATCTGAGGAGGTTATGGGCTCTCCTGAGGTTGATCCATAAGAGTGCCTGAACAAACTGAAGGTTCCTGTAAGTAGTTATCATTGTTTGGATCAGAAGCTATTCTCACTGGGCTAATACGAAAACATACAGAATGAAAAAAAAAATAGAAACCTTAGCCTAGACATTATTCCTCAACAGAGTATCACCGAAATGAAATGACATTCGATTTGTTCCAGCTCTCCGCCTGGACATAGAAAACCTCGAGAACGGTTACCACGGCATCGTGAAAGAGAACGAGACGTTGGTAGAGGTGACGCCGGCGATTCGCGCCGTTGGCGAAGTATGCCGCTTTCGTATCGTCAACAAGCACCATGGCGAGGCTCCTTTCGACGTCGTTCTCAAGGAGGGCGGCTTCGCCGAGTTGAGGGCGAGGAGGGCGCTCAACTGCGAGAAGAGGAAGAACTACAAGTTCGACATCGCGGCGGTCGGATGCGATGAGAAGCAGAGCATCAGGTAGGTTCGGGCGATCCCCTGAAATTTACATGAACATCTTATTATGTTATCGCTGTGTGGTGGCTCAGATCATACTTTGTATTATTAAGTCTTCCTCACAAAACATGGCCTGTGAATGTGACGGAGATTTTTTTTGTTGGAAGAGTTACTGATTCGCTCCGATCTCTGCGTCCCACTCATTGAGCACGTTGAAAAATTATCAGTAATATCTCAATACCGATACCTTCTTGCCAGAACATCATAAGTCGCGAATGTTCAATTTCACAGGAGAGTCGTTTTGTTAATATCTCATCTGTGAATTGCTTTATATGTTTGATATTCCGGATATGAAGGTTTTGGTGGAAGTCGGATGTAGAAATATGGTTAATTCTCATGAAAAACTATTGGTTCACTTGGAAATGAAACTCATGATAATTTGAATGTTCTATAGAGAAATCGAGGAAGCAAACATCACCAAGAGAAAACTGAAGAATAATGCGAAATTATAATATTATTTAGTGACAGGATAAATAACAAATAACTTTAGATATTCCTGTATTGATAAAAAACATTCTTTTTTGTTAACAATATTCATTTGGGCGTGTAAAAAATTTTGAATTGAAAAAACCCAAATTGTGAATGTCTGGCACGTGCACGGACTCCAAACGAAATTTAAAAGAAGCCAAACTGCTCTGCGTACCTATATGTTTTTTCTCGAGGTGCTCCAACTGACTTTGGGGATCGCCATACCAACTAATTTCTTTTTTATTAATAATCTTGATTGATATTTGTCATATAATGTAAGTTAAGTTGGTATGCCTGCATATGTCAATGTCAGATTATCTAGGATGGCATTACTGACAGACACTGTTAGCAATTAAGGTAGAAATGTGAAGATCAGAATATCTTGATGATACCTGTAAACATTCTTACTGAAATAAATTTAATAAAACGTATTGTACTGTACACATACCTATGTTCTACATTTCTTAGTAATAACAAGACAATATTCACATAATTTGTTGATTCAAAACTCATCACAAGTTTGTATTTTCACCTTAAGCTTTGATTTTTTTACAGTTAACTAACATTTTTGAGGATTAAATTCATTTTTATTAAATCAATGAATCTGATGTTGAAAAGGAATATTCTCAGATAAATTATGAACATACAAAAATGGATATATATTTATATAAAGCAATACATTGAGAATTCGCATTCTCTATGTGATGAGAATATCTACTCTTTTTCAGTTGATTCAATAGAAAACAACTACTTTCCTGGCTATATGCCACGACGAACATTGAATTATATCTATTGAACACACACGATTAGAGTTTGAAAATAAAATATAAAAACTTCTGAAATTGAGAATTTGCATTCTCCTTCAGACCAAAATATGTATATGCACACATCATTCTGAATATTCAACAGAAAACAACTACTTTCCTGGCTATTTGCCACGTCGAACATTGAATTATATCTGATGAACATTCAAAAGGAGAAAATGAAAAATAGAGAATAAAATCCTCCGAAATTGAGAATTGACATTCCTCTTCAAATCGGATGAATAATATGATGGATAATGATATAGAAATATGACTTACCAATATATTCATCATATTATTCATCCGATTTGAAGAAGAATGTCAATTCTCAATTTCGGAGGATTTTATTCTTTATTTTTCATGTTCCCTTTTGAATGTTCATCAGATATAATTCAATGTTCGACGTGGCAAATAGCCAGGAAAGTAGTTGTTTTCTGTTGAATATTCAGAATGATGTGTGCATATACATATTTTTGTCTGAAGGAGAATGCAAATTCTCAATTTCAGAAGTTTTTATATTTTATTTTCAAACTATTATCGTGTGTGTTCAATAGATATAATTCAACGTTCGTCGTGACATATAGCCAGGAAAGTAGTTGTTTTCTATTGAATCAACTGAAAAAGAGTAAATATTCTCATCACATAGAGAATGCGAATTCTCAATGTATTGCTATATATAAATACATATCCATTTTGTATGTTCATAATTTATCTGAGAATATTCCTTTTCAAAACTTTCATACCCAATCAGGGGGTTCATACTTGACGAATGGAAACTTGTGATTTTTATAGACCTCTAATCGCAGATTCGTCTCAATTTAGAATTTCTTTCCACGCCTTGTATGATGAATGTCAATTTATCATACACCCAAAAGTAATGAATCTGAGTTATTTATTAACAAATATATGAAAGAGATCACATGTTGAATTTGCACCAAAGTTAATCTTGATGAAAATATGATAATTATATCTATCTAATGTGGTCAGTTTCGTTGATATGATAAAGTACCTTTTAAATGAATGATTATTTCCATTATAATATAGCACAATTATCTTTATTTTTTGAGTTAATTAGGAAATGTTGTTACTTACGTTGTCGCGACATTCTTAAACGACAAATAGAGAAATTAAGGCTATATTTCGAATTCAACTGGTCAGTACTGACAGTAGATCCACTGAAGCTGCTGAAAATCTGTGTTCCGAAATATAAAATCAAAAATACAGTGCTGTAATTCGAAACACGTTCTCATGGTTTTCATCAGTAGTCAGCAGCAGTTGATCAGCTGGTGCAATTTGTCAGTCTGTAGTTTCTCGTTTATCTGAACTAGATATTTAGCCTCCTGTTTGATATAAATTTTGGAAATTTAGTGTTCAACCTGGAAGAGCAATCGATTCTTGTAGCCTCCATAGTTTCTACGATTATTGACTATGACGATTCAAGCTCGAGTGATGAAGGATACTTGAACATTTTGTTGCCATTAATTTTTTATGATGCACCAGATTGAGAATTGAAAGATTCATGGAAAACATAATGATGATGAACTTAGGAGACATTCCAGGTTTATTTACTTATTTATTTACGCAATGCTGCTTCTTGTTTCGATATCTCTACTACTTCATACTCCATATTATTCTCAGCTCATTATTTCAATATCAGCTATTTTCTGATATTGAAAATAATATCATTAACAACGGAAATAATAATAATGACAGTTCACTGAAGCCACACCACCTTTTGATACTCAGCAATTTCAGCAGAATGTTGATTCGAAATACTTGGAATGAATAGTATGTCTGCTCACAAGCATCTGTCACTTTCAGTGAATTTTTTGATTTCGGAATGAAAAATCAGCAGATTCAGTAGTACTGTCAGTTGAATTCGGAAAATAGCCATAGTATAGCACAGAACCGCTCGTTAGCAACAGGATTGGTACCACTTGATGATGTTGCGGTTCCTCTTACAGCGATAAAAAAAAACGATATAATTCGGAGTTGAATTATTACAGCCAAACTATGCGTACGATTATTCATACATTTATTCATTCATTAATGTATTCATTCATTTATTCATTTATTCATTTATTCATTTATTCATTTATTCATTTATTCATTCATTCATTTATTCATTTATTCATTTATTCATTTATTCATTTATTCATTTATTCATTTATTCATTTATTCATTTATTCATTTATTCATTTATTCATTTATTCATTTATTCATTTATTCATTTATTCATTTATTCATTTATTCATTTATTCATTTATTCATTTATTCATTTATTCATTTATTCATTTATTCATTTATTCATTTATTCATTTATTCATTTATTCATTTATTCATTTATTCATTTATTCATTTATTCATTTATTCATTTATTCATTTATTCATTTATTCATTTATTCATTTATTCATTTATTCATTATTCATTTATTCATTTATTCATTTATTCATTTATTCATTTATTCATTTATTCATTTATTCATTTATTCATTTATTCATTTATTCATTTATTCATTTATTCATTTATTCATTTATTCATTTATTCATTTATTCATTTATTCATTTATTCATTTATTCATTTATTCATTTATTCATTTATTCATTTATTCATTTATTCATTTATTCATTTATTCATTTATTCATTTATTCATTTATTCATTTATTCATTTATTCATTTATTCATTTATTCATTTATTCATTTATTCATTTATTCATTTATTCATTTATTCATTTATTCATTTATTCATTTATTCATTTATTCATTTATTCATTTATTCATTTATTCATTTATTCATTTATTCATTTATTCATTTATTCATTTATTCATTTATTCATTTATTCATTTATTCATTTATTCATTTATTCATTTATTCATTTATTCATTTATTCATTTATTCATTTATTCATTTATTCATTTATTCATTTATTCATTTATTCATTTATTCATTTATTCATTTATTCATTTATTCATTTATTCATTTATTCATTTATTCATTTATTCATTTATTCATTTATTCATTTATTCATTTATTCATTTATTCATTTATTCATTTATTCATTTATTCATTTATTCATTTATTCATTTATTCATTTATTCATTTATTCATTTATTCATTTATTCATTTATTCATTTATTCATTTATTCATTTATTCATTTATTCATTTATTCATTTATTCATTTATTCATTTATTCATTTATTCATTTATTCATTTATTCATTTATTCATTTATTCATTTATTCATTTATTCATTTATTCATTTATTCATTTATTCATTTATTCATTTATTCATTTATTCATTTATTCATTTATTCATTTATTCATTTATTCATTTATTCATTTATTCATTTATTCATTTATTCATTTATTCATTTATTCATTTATTCATTTATTCATTTATTCATTTATTCATTTATTCATTTATTCATTTATTCATTTATTCATTTATTCATTTATTCATTTATTCATTTATTCATTTATTCATTTATTCATTTATTCATTTATTCATTTATTCATTTATTCATTTATTCATTTATTCATTTATTCATTTATTCATTTATTCATTTATTCATTTATTCATTTATTCATTTATTCATTTATTCATTTATTCATTTATTCATTTATTCATTTATTCATTTATTCATTTATTCATTTATTCATTTATTCATTTATTCATTTATTCATTTATTCA